TATTCAGATATGAGTTATGCTTTTCGCTTATTGCACTTAAAACGTGATTTGAAGTTAATTAACGAAAAACGTTATGTTATGTAGATCAAGTAGGCGTAGTTGTTAGTTGAAAAAAAGTATGAAAAATTACGGAAGAGACCGTAATAACTTTACACGTTTTTTAAAAATAATTAAAATGTTTTTGTATTTGTCACCAGATTTGCTTCGAGGATTGCGTGACGATCTTCGGACACCGTAAGCGCAGGTCTGCCGTCGCCTAGCAAGGGTAGCTTGCCGCTCGACCAGAACTAGTCCCGAGTCTATGGCGCGCCTCAATTAAATTCCACCACAAAAAGGGCCCAACAAAGCCTATGTTCAGCTAGGGGTTGCGGGTCAAACACAATAATGTACCTAAGTCACTGCCTGGAGCAGGAAAAGAAAAGGGATGGTTTTTGTCAGTACGAATCTGACTCCCTCTCGCCTCAACAAGCGCAACAAAAGAGATGATGTTTCGATTTGGAATAAAAGATGCGATAATTCTTAATAGGTGGATTAAAAGAATGTCTCAACAAAAAGTTTTTGTTTGCGTCGGCACGGGCGGCCGTCACAAACACAAACAAGCTTTCTATGGAAAACGTTTATAATAGAGTTTCTACTAAAAGTATGCGTCGTAACAATTATAATTGATAACGTTTCTCATTCACTCAATTATATTAAATGGAGTGAATGTTAGCTGTTTCCCGTTCTGAAACAATAACGATAATCAGATGGCAACATCTCGCGAACAATGACACTGACGACGCGACTGTGACCATGATTTTCGGAAAATAACAAACAAGAAATAGTTTGTATACTTATGACAAAAAAAAAACCTTTTTCGTCTTATTAAAAGCAGGACGTATTTTAGTACCTAATTTGAACAACTTTACCAATCATATTTATATTTTTCCAATCGAATATTTCTACCGTTTAACATGTCTCAGTCAAAAAAAGTATTCAGACAACGAATCGAATCCAATATAATAACTCATTTACATGAAATTTATTGAAAATACCGACTTACGGTGAAGCGCGTGAAGTAACTGAGAAACGCTCAACTAGTTTCAAGTCGCCACGGGACTCTTATTCATGGCAGCGTGCACGTCGCGCAGCCGACTTAAGACAATATTACCTATAATGATATATTTTTATGGTAAATACTCGTTTTATGTCAAAATTTGTTTAACTAAAAGGAAACCTGTAATAATTGATTCATTCACACCTCGACACACGGTACAATGAGCAATGTCCACTGACAAAAGGAAGTAAGTACCTAAGTGGATACACTATTACAACGGGATATCATAATAATAACGCTTATAGTTTTCTTCCATACGCATATTACGCACCAATTTGCATATCCAATGTGTCTATAATTAGCAATTCAATAAACACTAACTTTGTGTACAGGGTGTGCACATATTGAAGACTTTGTTGGTCAACAAAGCCGGCGATTGTTATACCAATCAAAATAAAAAAAAATAACAAACTGATAAACGTTTTGTACGAGGATATTGAATAAAAAAATTACGAAAAATTTTAATTGACATTTTAAAACTAAACAGATACCTGCCTACTTCAAAAGCAATATTTTGTTAGATGCCTTTTGTTTGATTCAGATTAGTTTTGAAAAATATTGATATGAAATCCTTTTATTCGTTATAATCGTAATTTATTGTAGAACTTCACAGGTAGGCTTCACAATAAGATTTGAATACTAAAAGTCCTATTTAGTCCATCAGCTAGATATTGAAAAAATATTAGAAACCTTTGTTTTACTTAGGTACGTGTGTACGTAAGTAATACATAAACAATACTTTAAATTTAACTAGTTTTCTTTTGAGCCTTTCTCGATAAATCTTCTATCCAACACAAAAGTAATTGTGCAATTCGGACCTGTAGTTCCCGAGATCAGCGTGTTCAAACTAACAAACAGACCCTCAGCTTTATAATATTAATAAATAATAAACTTAAATTATCATTAGTCGTAGGTATGCAATAAGCAAATGTGTTACTTTGTTTGCACCCTTTCTATCTGCCACATTGTAGCATGCAAATACCTAAGTGTAAACGTATTTATACTTTAGAATATTTTAGTATTAATTATAATAGAAAAGGCAGGGAATTAGCGTTCCGCAAGGTGGTCATACAATAAAAACGAAACGAACAAAGTCAAAAATGACGTTTTACGTCAACTGTCATATTTTCGGTTCCCTCATCTCCTACCTGCCTGGCCTGCGTATCAATAAAGGGGTAGTAAACTAATGATTGATTCTTGAAAACACAATATACTTACTGTATAAATATATTAGTAACTGTACTTTATTTCTTAAAACTAAAGTATGTAACATCCTTTATTTTCACGAGTAAAGTCAACTCAAGTCCACCTCTAAAGTTAAGAGACAACTATCCTAACCATTACAATTTTGAAAATTGCCTCATATACAATGACAAAACGTTCCCAGAAAATCAATAAAATATGGTCACCGCAACCTTTTAGCCGACTTCTCACGCCGCTGTTACTGTTAACCTAACTGCCTGTAAGCGGTGCACTCATAATACTTAAAAATTAAAAGTTATTGTATTTATGAAACGTGTGAGAATGTTTAATTAATTAAATAAGTGGAATAAACGGAACTAACTACTTATTAGAGCTAATGAAAGTGACGACACACTAGTAAACATTGTGAAAACAACGACTAATGATATTATAAGGTAATCCTCTAAGTTCTCAAGCCTATTAGGCAATAGGTACGTAGGAGTTACTTAAAAACACATAACAGTTTTACTTACAATGGGACAATTACCTTTTAAATAATATACTTCCTTCCCTTACCAACACCTTTCTTTTTAAATGGTAACGTTTACAATTACGTGATAACTAGGCACACTCGGCAAACAGTTCAGTATACGTGTTTGCGGGCGTAGAAACAAATGACCATCATCGAAATTTTTCAGTCCAAAACTAATTAAACAAGGATCGGTAACACAAACAATGATTAGTTCCACATAATGTGTCGTATCCTGGGAGTCATCGAGAATTAGTTGCGCGATCTGTTAGGAGCACGCCCAGGGCACCGTCATGTGCTACACGACTCCGATCGGCGATCATTAATGAGTAACAGCAAAAAATATGTTCGTCTACACAATACAGGCGCATGACTCGCCGCTCCGCGATCAATTATTAATAAAAAGCGGGCCGCTTCATTGAAAGGGCGATTAGCTCAATATTTATATGGAATATTCGGTATCAACGGCGCTTTGTGGCCATAATTCGGTGGGTCGTGACGTTGCGCGTTTGACTCTCCCGCCCGCGTCATAGACCAACTGTTTCGGGTGAGGCGTAGACTTGTAACTGCGTTAATTATTAAAGTATGGCATGCAAAAACATTCATTCGGTATAAAAAATATCATTATTACGTTTAAGGAACTTAGTTTTCAACTCAAACAAAGCGAAATACTAACTAATTCTACTATTAGTAGATCACGAAAATGAAAATTAACAACACTATTAAAGCGGTAATTACTTACAAAAATAAGAATAGCAACGTTTGTATAACATATATAAACCTCAGAGAGTTTGACGGCGCGCAGGCTTCATATAGTAAATCAAAAGTTACCTTCAGCTGAGCGGTGCGTCCCGGGCCACCTCGGTCGCTTCATTGTACTACCGAATTGACTCGCCGACTCTTTCAATAGAATTCTTCGCCGTGAAAGCAGCCACTATGTCGGCATAAATTTATTTAATCTGATACATTTGCCCGAACATCAATCATACACTCGACACTAGCGAATTATTAGATCACATTTAGATGTGTTGATTTGATATTCAACGCTCTTTGAAGTAAATCAAAGTGTGTAGAGGCAATTATAAGAATAATGTAGATGCCTAGATTGCTATAACGTGGCCTAGATCCATGAGTATTCCATCAATTCAAAACAATGTCGTGTCTATATAACCCAATCGCTAATATTCCGAAAACATATTATTCCGTGTTAAATGAACTGTACAGAACGCTAAACTAAAGGTCTTATACCAATTAATTACTTGTATAATTCATTTGGCATTACTGACTCGCATAGCAACCAATGGCTGCCAGAACAATTTTTCAGTAGAGCTGATGCTAATGAAAAGGCATTTTCACGAGCTTTGGCGCCGGCCGCCATGCAAATGTGCTGTTTAATGACGCGCGAAGCCACGCCACACAACTATACTATCTTTACGGACGCAAAACGTTACATTACACACAGTTTATTGTGAAAACTCGGCCCGAGTTGTAAACGTTAATATCTGCGCTACGACTTTACCGATATCTGCACAATCCGAAGCGAATCACTACCAATGTGCCCTATGAATACATCTTGACCCCGGACTAGCTCGTATTGACAGCCGATATTTATGGTGAGAAACACGGAATAACACATTGCACAGAAAATAAAGTTTAGACACAAAACGCCAGCCGTGGAAACTTACGTTCCACACATTCCCCACTAGCGGCGCCTATTCACTTATTTTAACTAAATATTTTATGACTCAAGCTTCGCTAAAAGACTAAGGATAAATGTGTCACAATTGAGTCATTTGAGCCGCCTTTAAAATGAAAAGCCCTTCAACCTTGAAAAGGCCAGAGAATGCGGCATGAAAGAGGCTCACAATACTCTTTTAATTTGTCATTATGCAGCAATAAAAACATGGTAAATGAGAGCGACAAAAAACTCGTTCAGAGACAAACAAAAACCGCGAGTTGGGGCGAAATTCGCAAATCATTCTGCGATAATGACGGCCGCTTGAAAAAAATTTAAATATCAAAAGGCCGGACGGGGCACGGTAATGGTTTAAAATCATTTTTCATTCGAGTCACTCGTGAGTCAGAAATATGAAAACGGTAGCCATCGCATCGGGCGCGCTTCCATTAACTCTAGCCGACTCGCGATTAGAATTTTGGACGAGCTCCATCTTTCATTAATCTGTTACCTTCTTTGGAACAAATAAAACAAAAACATTGATCAATTACGGTGTTGGAATGAAACTACATAAGTACCTGCGTCGTTAATGGTTTTTATTTACAAAGGTCCTTTTTAATATTAAATCGCATGACTTATGTTATTTAAATGTCATTTGTTCTTCTTTTTCTTGTGCTTGGGTTGCGATTGGTCGACGGGCGGCAGGCCGCTGTCGAATTCGCTGGCCGTGTGCATAGAGCTCTGTTTCGGTATATTACGGTTGCCGGAACCGAACTTAGCTTTCGGGAATCTGTGAAAAATGCACACTCATTGTAATAGAGTGTTTTAAATCAAAAAAGTTCTCCATTAAGCTATACTAGTCTAATTCAAATAATCTGAGGACTCTGGAAAATTTGCAAAATGGCAAAAATCCTATTTTATGGAAACAAAACAAGTATCCCCTTACCCTGGTCGTTTCTTCTCTTCATCCGCATGTACGGTGAGCCTATTGGAAGGCCTGTCCTTCTTATTGCTAGGGTTGGACTTGACCCTTCGGGCTAGCGTAGCAGGGGCGTCTCGAAGCGCGAAAGCTTTGGCAGCGTGACCCAAGTGCAATTGTTTCGAATCCAAGTACTCGCGCACATCGCGAGGATAGCCCGCGTAGAAACGCACCCACGATGTGTATGCTAAATTGAAGAATTGATTTGTTTAATAGTTTGTAGACAAATGTATATATGCCTAGAGCAGGAGAAGGAGTAGGGTGGTTTTAGTCAGTAAGAGTCTGACATTCAAAAACTGGGCAAAAGAAGTCTAGCTAATGTGAGTCAATGGAGATTGAAAAATAGGAACACCAAAAATATCATATTTCCCTTTGAATACTAAAATTGGAACCATTCACTTTTATTCATACTAAAACTCTCTATTAGCCTGTTTTAAAGACTTACTATAATAGGTTCAGCAGATATCAACCACAACAACATTTATCAAAAAAATTGCACTATATAAATAAAATAGTACGTACCTCTGCTGGCTCTGAGCAGCCAGTCTCGGTTGGTATGAGCGGTGTGTTCCAGCCGGGCTTGCACTGCGATGGCGGCGCGCTGAGCTGTGGTAGCCCCCGGTACTACCGTGCGCAAAGCTTCTAGTGCACGGGACTCATCGCCTTGACGTAACCTTAAGATAGATATTTGTCACAAGCTAGCATGTTTCGTTCTTTTTTATGTTACAGTTTTATTTAAAATGTTTGTTTTACATAGTACAATAGTAAGGTAATTTCTAACAACTAAAATTCTATTTATAATTTTTCCGTCATTACAAACGCGATTTTTTTATGCATTTTGTATGAAATAGCACATTGTGACGTCATAATGTTTGACGTCATATACCATACTTATGTTTCTTGAATTTTCTAAAAAATCTAATGTTAAGTAGGTATATCGTAAAGTCAATTAATGGACATTTGATTGTTTTTGTATATTTTTGTGGTTTTATAAGTTGAAGTAAGTAATTTCTTCTTGACCGAGGAAACTAGGTACCGAATTTTGATTAATGAGTACTTATTCTTTATGTGAGCGTGTGAGTGTCCGACTGAGAAACAAAACGATATTATATCTATCTCTTTCTGCTCTTGATATATTCGGATACAGAATTCACGGAAATTTCAGCTTCTGCCAATCCAACATTTTTTTCGAACTAACTTATTGATAGACTTCTTACCAACCCCAAGATGTTTCTAAAAAGGACTGCTTACCTGATTCTCTTTTCTTCCAAATGCCTAATGAACTTCGCTTCGCTAGGTAACAGGAACAGAACGGCAGCACCGACCTGAGCTGCACGTCCTGTGCGACCCACTCTGTATGAAGGAAACACTTTAATAGTCATCTGATCATCATCAACCGGGTCGATACCACGGCCTCACAGAAGACCGGCGTGAACCAGCGTTGTGATTCGCCTTGTGAGTGAGGTTACTGGAGGCCCAATCCCTCCCCATCTCTTCCCAATACTTAAATATCCGAAACCCTTATCCCCAAAATGCCAGTAACGCCAGGCCAGCAGCAATTTCAGTGTTGCGGGTGTCCATAGGTAGCGCTGATTGCTTACCATCAGGTAATCAGTCTGTTCGTTTGCCGATCTACACGATAAAAAAAGCTAATAATATAAGTACAAACAAAAACAAAGCAGAATTTACCAGCCATACCACGGCCTTAGGTATAGGCAACCAGTGTGAAACAAAGCTTACATTGTGTACATCAATGAAAGAGAGAGAGGTAGCTAGAGGAAGCTCTGTCCTTTTTCGCATCCCCAAAAGGCCAGCAACACACTTTTACATTCCCTGGTGTTGTAGTGTTGCGGAATCCTATGGGCGGCGCCGAATGCATCAGATTGTCCATCTGCTCATGTGCGGCCTTATCCCGCAAAGAAAGAACTCTCATGAGGACAATCGTCCATCTAACGTCAATAATATAGTCTTGTTCTCGAAGCCAATCAGTTTTTTTATTGGAATGGAGATTTAACCTGATCATTTTTGCGTCTTTCAGTTTGAATTACGTTAATCGTCTGATTCTATTAAACAATTATCAATAATGAGCAGTAGCTACTACACAATTTGTAATTACTGGTAATTGCACCCCCTGGCAACTGCATTTACTTGCAGATAGATAAATTTCAATGTTTTTAACTTTAGACTTTATTATGTTAAGTAAAAATAAACTTTAATAAATGTAAATTAGGGATGAATTTTCTGTGTTCAGCATTGTAGATATTGTAGCTTATATAACGCTGATATATATCATGGCATGTATACTATAGGAAATATTACCTGTGGACATAATCGGTGGCTGAAGCTGGGGCACAGAACTGTAACACGAGATCCACTCGAGGCACATCGATTCCTCGGGCAGCAACATCCTGGTGGATCAACAATGACAATACAATATACGATCGAAATAGATTAGATAGGTACATCGTCACAAAGTTTCCTAAACGATGAAGTCCAAGACATACTTTTTTCAACCCTCGGAAAATCTTGGTGGGCGAAGTTTTAGCAACCTTTTAAGAGCTGGACGTACACCAAAGTATATGTCTAATGACTTATAATCGGAAGTAGATCAAAATGAGATATAGATAATACACGAATACATGATAAGCCATGTACAAAAAAGTTTAGCGAATCTGAACATTACATGAATACAGGAGCGGCGCAGCGCGTAAGCGAGTGAGCGCCGCCTCGGTAGCCACCGCCCGCTGCGACCAAGATTAAACCCGATACCATCTCGCCTTCGCACCGTCATTATCTACACTATGGAGGACATTACACCGCGACCATTGCTGTATTAATGCAATTAAAAACACACTACCACATACAATGTATTCGTCTCGGCTAATTACGCGATTAGAAAATTATTTTACGCTTCACCTACAACTCCGACCTACCGTGGAAAATATTAAAACTATAATCGAGCACTTTTTTAACAATCTCCGAGAAGACCTTTTCGAACATGTATTCGATTACTAATTACAAAGTTTAAATACTTAGTTGCATTATTAAGACGTTTAGTTTTTCTCGCGTCGTTATTAGTCGAGTATTAGTTCTTATGATTAATATGCAGCGGCAAAAACTCGAAAAGGGTACAGATCGTTACAAAAACTTAATTCTAGCTCAAAACCATAGAAGCATAATCATCTTCATCATCATCATCATCAGCCTGTTGTCGTCCACTGCTGGACATAGGCCTCCCCAATTGCACGCCACTGAGCTCGATGTTCAGCTCTTCTCATCCAACCACTGCCATGATGTCGTCAGTCCACCTAGCTGGAGGGCGCCCTACACTACGTTTGCCTAGACGTGGTCTCCACTCTAGAACACGTTTACTCCAGCGGTCATCGGTTCTTCGACAGATGTGACCTGCCCACTGCCACTTCAGTTTGCTAATCCTTTGGCATATTTAAGTTTTTAATTTCCAATATAGGCCGAATATTAAATTGACTACCTTGTCCTCGTGTCCTATAGGACATTACATGAACAACTTCGTACAAATTACAATGAATTTGTAATTAGAATCTCCAGCGACGGCGTAACAGTAAGGTTCCGATGTCGGCGATGATAGATGTAATAAACACATATAATTGTACATAATCGAGGCGTATTGTGGCGGCGCGCGGCGGTGTGGGAGAGCACAGAGAGCTAGATGAATGACCAGCTAATAGGCACCGCGCCACAATAGCTAGCGACAAAGGTGAGCGGCGGGAACATGGACGCCATTATTAAACTAAGAATGTGATGATTAATCTGGTAGCACGTTTTCGATGATAATAAATTGAATTTCTATTGTACGCGTAAACACGATTAAAAAATATTCAAGAGATACGATTTTATTTGATTCGAATTACATGTGCGCGGCGCGGTAATAAATAACAGAAGACAATGATGGACGTAGTACGGTACAAGTGCGTAAGCATTAAAACTATGAATTGGCTACTGATTACCAACATTAAATTAAGTTTATGTAGAAGTAAAATATACCAAAAAGATATCTAAATCATATTGAAAAAGATGAAGAACGCACTGCAATTTCCCAGCAGAATACACGAAAACATAGGTATGTATAGTTAACCTTTTCGCTACATAGTGTTACGTCATTGTAAGTCAAAGAAAGCATCGAATAGAAATCCAAATCACTCTATTAGTTCTAGTTTGAAACACATAGAATTCATGTAAAAACTTGTAAACATTATCAAAATCCCAAATTCAAATATTTATTCCATTACTTTTATTCTTTTTTTTTGACGCTTGAGCTTAATCTAAAGTCTATGCCCACCACACAGATTATAAAAGTTTTATAATCTGTGGCCCACCAGGACTTACCGTACAAATAAGAACTCCGTTTCGTGCAGATCGGAACTGTTTGAAAACCTCCATTCTCTGCTCATGAGGCATGGAGCCGTGCAAGCTGAACATATCCAGGTCGACTGGCACCAATCCACCTTCAGTTGGCTCTTCATATTCCACTTTGAAGTCATCAGCGTCTTCTGATGATGATGAGTCATTATCCTAGGGAATAGTTTATTTTAGTTTTTTATCTTAGGGAAGCATTAGTGATACGGCTAATTGAATGTGCCAGTAATGTTTATCCGTAAGACAGTGTAGTAAATAGTGCGAAATTAGCGATTTAAGGGGGCATTGGACCTAGGATAACTTCACTCAGACCGGCAGATATATTGTTAATAGTTTTGAACGCGCCGCGCGAGTGCGCCTTAACCTCCGGGCCACTACTACAGTGATTATAAAACCCTACGTACGCCAAAGTTTGCATTGTGTACATCAATGAGAGAGAGAGAATCAATGTGGCGTCGATTGCAATTCTCGTAGATGTCATAATCGCAATCGGCGCCACGCATGGACGCCACAACAATAAAGAAGATACGATTGCGTTGTCGACATTTTAGGGATTATATATTTGAGGATTGTGAGATTGACGAGTGACGGGATGGAGAGATTGGATCGCCAAACAAATCCCTGTGGTTATTTCACGCCAGTGTTCTGTGCAGTAGTGATGAAACTCTAGTCGAGCCGGCCCACTCGTGTTGAAGCATGGCTCTCCCACACTTAATAAGAAAACTTAATAAACAAAACAATTATGATACTGATCTCAAACAAATCCACGTCTATTGTTCTGTAAAGACGCTGAATCCTATCTGTATGTGTCGTAATAAACGGAATGTGAGTCTATGTGTTTTTAACACGTAGAAACACACACAAGATGATATGAAAAAATAAGCTCTTTATTTGTCCCATGACATCACGCTTAACATCTACCTTTGCGGCTCTTAAAAAACAATTTCCAACTACTAAAATCAATAGTAACATAGTATATTTTATAACAATTCGTTTTACTTACATCATCATTATCGCCGTCATCAGCTTTTCTTTTCTTCGCTTTAGAATTTTTAGCTTTCTCTGGTTTTTTCTTTTTAACTTCTTTTCCCGTGAGCGCAGTATCTATTAGATCCGAAAGATAGTCAACCATTTCTAACGTAGCCACGAACACAATCATTTTGCCTCCTTTCTTGTTCATTACGCAATGTTCTACAATGAGACCGCAAAGGGTTACAAGCCTTAGTTTCATTGGGACTATGAGGAATGTTTGGTTCACCGTTGCTGGTAGAACTAATTCGTCCTCAACAATTGCAGATTTAACTGCTGCAGCGAAAGTATCAACTTGTTGAGGAGTTTCTTCTTTATCTTCATCCTCTTCATCATCACTGTCATCTTCAGTTTCATTTTCTTTTACAACTTTAGGGTTTTTAAGTTCATACTGCCTTTGCGCTTTGAAATATTCGTAATCAGAATCGCTGTCACTATCATCCTCGTTTTGTACAATATTGGTTTTCGGAGCTATACTAGCCGTTCCTTCATCGTCCTTTTTGAATAAATCTTTGTGGTTTTGGCCAGTAAAAGCTTTCAGCCCTATAGCAAATATGAAGTCAGTTTTAATACACATACACCATATTGAAAGAAAGTAGGTAGCAAAGACACTTACCTCGTTTAATTTCTGTATTATTTCCACCATCTGGCAAAACCGTTTCAACATCAGAATCATCCTTTTTAACTTTTTCTGGTTTTGCTTTCTGAGGTTTCAATTTTTCAGGCGCTATGTCTATTTCTGGCTTCTTTTTTACTTCTGTTACTTTTTCGCTTGGTGCAGGTTGATTTGATTTTAAAGAATCGGCTATTACAGCTTTACCTTCCGATGTATCTACAAAGACTGGATCAACTAGCGTGATGCCTGCTAAATTTTCAACAGCCTACAAAACAAATATTTCTTTTACTATAGATTTTGTCTACGACTTTCTTATAAACTAAGTCACGTAAAATTAACTACACAGTTCGGCCAATACAATCAAATGACGATGACATTCAGTTTTTTTTACAATCTGTAAAATAGTTTTAAAGCAGATATGTGGGAATTACCAACGGTTGTTCGACAGTTTCGAATACGGTGTTGACAATACGTTAAAATAAAATTACATGAATAAGTTATTGAGCAAATATTACCTTAGTAAGAGTTGCAGATAACAAAATAGTTTGCTTTTCTTTAGACATAAAGACTTCAGTTAAATGATGTTTCACACCATCTTTTTCTTCGAGGCTTTCATTATGTCCAGATTCCTCTTTACTATCGTCATTATCTGGTATCTTCTTTACTATGTTTTGTTTCATAAGAGCTATGGGGTCGTATGTCGCTGCTTTTTTATGATCGTCAATAGCTTTAACTATAGCTGCGACGTCTTTCTCGTAACCCATGTCTAATAAGCGATCTGCTTCATCTAACACTAAACAACTGCAAATAACCGTAACTACTATAAATGTGAAGATAAAATAATCTATGAAATATGAAAATTAATCGCAAAATGTATTGGTAAGCGTATTGCTTAGCAAAGCTTGGACCAATTAATAATTCTATTTTGTTTTTCTGTTATAGGACGGCTAACGAGCAGACGAATTACTTGATAGTAAGAAAACAGCGCCATGGACCATGGAGGAGTTTCGAGCGCGTTGCCGACATTTTAGAGATTAGGTATTAGAAGATTTTGGGATTAAGAGAGGAAGGATTGCGCCTCCTGTAACCTCACTCTCACGGCGAAACTTAACGCTGTGGCTGTTTCTTTTTGTTGTGTTCTTTATTACTAAGAGAAGGTTCTTTATCAAAGAAAATTTTAGCAGAAGAAGCAACCTTGCGAAGCAGGGACGGGACGCTTATCTTATATATAAAAATGGATCGCAAAATGTGTTGGTAAGCGCATAACTCAACAACGCCTGGACCAATTTTGCTAATTCTTTTTTTGTTGTGTTTGTTATTGTCAGGAGAAGGTTCTTATCAAAGAAAATATTAGAAAAGTAGAGGGGAAGTTTAGGAAAAATTTACCCTTTGATGTCGAGATAGCTGGACCCGCGTGAAGCGGGGGCGGGCGGCTAGTAGAAAATAAAAACAATAATATGAACACTCTAATAGTACTTGTGTCCTTATGCCTTTTGTTGTTCCCCTTCAATGAAAAGCTGACATAGACTTATAATTTTAAAGTTACTTACCCAGTTTTAGCAAAGTTAAAAGATGCTGTATGCCTCAAATGGTCATTAATACGTCCAGGCGTTCCAACTAATACATTGATACCTTTCCTGAGTCGCGCCTTCTCCGCCTTCCTCTTTTGCCCTCCACTTAGGAGACCAGGCACAATCCAATGGAATGGCTAAAAAACAATATTTTTGTTACTGTTTAATCTCTCTTCTTACCTATCTCAGTAGTAGTAAAAAATTAAAAGTAAAAAATTACTTCCGTCCCACGGAAGTAATTTTTTTCAATAAATTTTCGACTTTATTTCAACAGCGTAAAGTTTGAAATGGTTTAAAGTTTCTGATGTGCTGTTTGTCTCTAACATTGTAAGAGTAAAGTCGATGTGATGTGAATTTTTAAGATATCAGAAGATTCTATCAGTTATTTTTTTGTGATATAAACAATGCCCGTCACTAGTATTTTCTCCTGTGTTGTAGGTACATTTATAAACATACAATTTCACATACACATCTCACCCAGACCCGGTACAACAATTTGTAAATCACACAAAGACTTGTTCCGTGACGGAATCGAACCTCTGACACGTTGCGCGGCAGCCAGACACCGCACCAATCGTGCAGCCAAACATTATTGTTTATTTTTGATATACTTACAAAATAAACTAAAGTAGAATATTTGTTTGTTTATATAGAAAATCCAAACCGCGCAAAAAAAATGCGAACGTAACTCTATCTGTCTGCCTTTTGTTCACACATAAAGTACTGAACCGGTTTGTGTAAAATTTGGTACAGACTTAGTTTGGAACTCGAAAAAGGACATAGGATAGGTTTTAAACCAAAAATTTGCAGAAAGTCCACAAATGAAGTCGCGGACAAAATTTAGGAGATAATTACTCTAAAATTCTATATTAACATTCATGTCCACAATACCTTGACTAGTTTTATAAACAGTTCATATGTCTGTATTGCAAGTTCCCTGGTTGGTACGACCACAATAACTCTGATGCCATCATTCCTATTTATCTTCGGTCTAATAGCCTGCAAACCTTCTATGATGGGTAGCGCATATGCCAGTGTCTTCCCTGAACCTGTCTGTGACCTAGATTAATAAAAAAGGGTTCATTTGATTGGCTCAACTTAAAACAACTACTACTATGTGGATTATTTGTTATGTTTGTATTTAATGCAAGAAAATAAAGGCATAGTTGATTTATACCATTCCGTGCCATAGAGTTTTCTAAATTTTCTATTTAAACCCAAGGATTTCTACCTATTTCTGGATCATTTTTTCAGTTCACCTTAAAGTTGTTTGAAATAAACCATAAGGTATTAAGTCTGCCCTGTGTACATTATTTTTTAGTGTATAAAATAAATTAATCAAAAAAATATTTATTTCTTTAGTAGTCTTAATTTACTAAATTAAATTTATAATAACCTGATATTTCACTCTTTGCTGAAAGCTGGTCAATTATAGCAAGTACCAGTAAAATATTTATAATAATTATCAATTTAAGATAACAAAATTTAAACATTTATATTTATATTGGTTTAGTTGAGTTATCAAAAATAAAGAGATAATGTATGAACACATTCATGGTTACTATATCACTATAAAATTACTTTGTATTGTGCAATGCAATTGCAATGACAGTATTACACAATACAAAAAATAAACATAATTGATTTAATTAAATTTAATAAATAAAAAGAAAGTCTTACCTAATAAGAACATCCCTTCCTTGTAAGATAATGGGTACTGCATTTTGTTGTACAGTCATAAGTTCTTTCAAACCTAAAGTTTGTTGCAAGTTTGCAACACTGTGTGGGTGTATATCTAGGTCAGAAAAGGTCTTGCCTGCAAAAACCTTCTCCACAATAGGTTTAACAGCCCGCTGCCCAATACGAGGCACTTGTGGATTATTCTTGAACAACGAAGATATCCACCCACCGCTCCGAGGCTTATTCTGTTTTAACTGTATATTGTCACTGAGTTCCTGATAGTTCTTTCCTTCATATTTTCCTTTATTCTCACTTAGGTCACGAAGTTTTGCTCCCAAATCATCAGATTTATTCTCTGTTGGAGGTGCTACTTTGGCCACCTTTTTCGGAGGGCCTTCAGCATTTTTTATTATAGCACGATTTGTTTGTGCTAAGTTTTGAGGTCGTTTCCTAGCTATAGTCTTACCAGTGAATTTGGGATTTGAAACAAATTTGTATTCTCCTGCATTGTTCTGTGGCGCACTTGGTTTTTTCTTATCCTATCAAAATACATGAATTAAGACAGAATCGCAATACTATATTTATGGTAGTAACTATATCTAACACTTACCTTTTTAGGCACGGATATATTCAACTGTAAATCATCCATATTTCACTATTTCACGAGTTATTTACGTTTCACCAACTATAAAAGTGAGGTTATACGCACGTTTTGACATTTGGTTTGTTGTGATATATTGACAGCTCTGCCACTCGTTCAGAAGCTGAACAATATTCGTAGTAATATTTATTCATCGATAACAAAAAAGTAGTCGTTATGTACCTAAACTTGGACTGCATTTCATTTGGAATAAAAATAAATGGGAATGAAAAGGCTTTTGTTACGATTGATTGTAACTGACTTTCTGTGACGATGCAAAAGAGATCAATAATGTTAGAATAAAGCTTCTCAAAGTTTTTATAAGTATTCATTTTCCCAAAGATCACTTTACTCCCCACCAAACTATTAGAGCCTATTATAACTCAAAGTGTTTTGTAAGCAGTGTACTTATGAACACGTGTCCAAAACACAGTGATGATGCGAATTACGGAAAGATCACGTGGCGACGCGTGGCGCGAAAATAATCCCTTTGTGCATTCTATGGGGCGGAACAAATACTTGTTTGAATTTTAATACACATTATTAATGTGGAAAGCCTTGAATTTAGCATTGTTTGATGACCGTGTATGAATGAAATAATCAATACTTTAAGTGATTAGTCACTTAAATGAATCAAATGGAAAACTTACCTTATAGAATTTAATTCTCGTTGAAATATTTAGAATTCTAAAAATGTATCTACAAAATTAATAGTCTTTTTATATGTGTTGATCAACTTCGACCTAAGTCATCCGTTTCCAGCTTAGGCTGGAAATTGGTGGGATAATGATTTGTACTTGTGATTATGGTAATGATTTATACTGAAAATATTGTTGCCGATCCAAACCGAAAACTTCAGCAATTACAATTTTAGTAAATTACAAAATCGCCATACATGCCGTTCATAATAATTATTGATGCAGTTGAAGTTTCCACGTAGGTACTTACTTAGCTAGATTTGTTGAATCACCACCTGGACCCGAAATAACTAACCATGCAGAATCAGATTTATACTTTCCAATCTGTCTGGCAAACACAAGCCATAAAAAAAATAAAAAAAAAGATATTATTTTTTATTTTAAGTTTTACTTCTTCAGAATTAAATGCAGGCACAGGTAATGACTATTGCCCTTTGCCGGTTACAAATCGTTATCCTACAAATTTGTAGCCTTACAGGAAAACCGATACTTGAAGGGTTATTAGTCTTTACTTGAGCTAAGAGCTGGGTATAAAATAAAACAAGCACAATCCGTGCTTAGATAAAATAGTGCCTATAAAAGTTCGTTCTTATAATCTACCAACGCAAGTTAGCATAAACTCCATTGGAAGGAAGAACCACTAAATCCATACACTTAAAATTCAAGAAACGCACGCATCGGGCACACAGAGAAAATGGAGTGAGGGCCTGAGGGCTAAAGGACGGTTGGAGGCGTGAGGGCGCGTCGTGATTACTGGCGCCCAACCGGGACGACCCCGCGTGCCCGGTCGCTCTAATACCCCTCTCTTATTCAAAGCAAACACACTCGTGATTTTTGTATACCTAACAATAAACAGGGCTTTTTAAGTCAATAAGTTTTGATCATTTCATTCAGGGTTTTTTTGTCAAGTGGATCAAAAGTTAGATGGTCGACTTGTAACAAGAACGATAAAACATGTGGTCTGTCTATGAATAGGGATTTTTAAGTCTTGAAGTTTTGTTTCTTTGATTTACGTTTTCTTTCGGTAGAACCTGATGTTAGGTTGTCAACTTAATTATGAATTGTTAGATTTCTGATTTTTAAGAAGTATTTAAAAACATGGTATTCGTTGTTTTCGAAGTTTCGGGACTCTATGGATGCGGATCACACAAATATACAACTAACCTCCTTCTGTAAATCCAGTTGGCTCAATTTTATTAACACTCGGTGACAAATACATCAGCATCGTCTCTGTCATCGTTTCGTGGCGTACCTAACGTCAACGATAACATTTTCATAAAAGACAATAGATTAATATTTAAATCTTAAAATAAAAAAATAAATAAATAAGACACATCTAAATCTCCGTTAAGCAGGTGAAACTCAGTAAGTACCGCCACCGTTGCTTCCTTCTTCCTAGATTAACATGAGCAGCCCAGCCACGGTCCAGTAGATACACCTATCATCAAGATATGAATAAGTTTAGGTTTAGGGAAAGTAAGCTACTTAGGTGTATTATATATTTAAGAATAAGTTTAGGTATCTAAACATCAATCGTATATACCTAGGTCCTATAAGTGTTAAATTAGGCTTAATGATTTTTGGAAGTTGCTATACTTAGATACTTTTCTCAAGCAAAATAAATATTATTATTTATCTCAAAAACAAACAGCAATTATGGCTTTAAAACCAACCACGTGCAAGGAAGCTATAGCTCGTTGGGAGAAGGCGAAAGGGGAAAATTCCACTGAAGCAAAAGTGATCGAGCTGCAATTCCAATGGCCTCCTATAGAAAAGATGGATGGCGCTCTATCTACCCTTGTAAACTGCGAGTAAGTAATGCATTACAGTAAAAGTCACACAACACCTACTCGTATAACTACGTCTTGAAAAACCTGCCTAAAACGCCTGATTAAGTTAGAATTAGAATTCTCATGAAATGTTCAAAGTTACCAATAACCAGTACTCAAATGTATATTACATAGAACAAATAAAGGTACAACATGCAATACATCCGACAAAAAGCTTGATATAATTATCTAATCGCCCATTTTTAGGAAACTAAGCCTATCCTCAAACATGATTGACAAAATAGCTGGCATTGCTGGCATGAGAAATCTGAAGATATTGTCTGTGGGAAGAAACTATATCAAATCCTTAGCAGGAGTGGTATGTCCTATATTTCATTCATCATCATTAACAACCAAAAAATAAGAATGCTGAACAAAGGCTTCCTTTGAAATCCCCTTGTGTTTGCCACAATCCTCGCGGCTGGCTTACGCCTTGAGGATGGCAGTTAGATCGACGAAAATTAGAGAACACTGCTGCTCGGTTTTTGGAGACTAATCGCGGGTAGAACATACCCACTTAAAGCCAAAGTAGTAATGTGGACGAAAACATCCGATTGATATGCAATGATTATTACCGACTTTTACATTCGCGCTACCCTTTAAGGTATACATAAAATAAAGAACTAGCAAAAAGTGGCTATTTCAATAACATGATATCCGCCTATCCTTCTGAGAACTACTTATCCATAAGTTAACCATGCAAAAACTATACAATTTGTTGACTTCATTTTTCAGCTATCGCAACCGTGTCATTTTAGCAAGGGTTCTCACGTACGATTTTAAGATTGGATTTATCATTTTGCAAACTCTTGGCACGATGTTAGAAATCGGGCCCGATCTATAACAATAAGTTCCTTCATTCATATATCAAAGGCAGGCAATATGACAAATTAGGTTCATTTGATTTGATTTGATTGCTTAAAAATAGCCTAAAGGTAGGTACAATGATTTGAATTTCAGGAAACTGTAGCAGACACATTAGAAGAATTGTGGATAAGCTACAATCCCATAGACAAACTGAAAGGCGTCGGAGCGCTTAAAAATTTAAAAGTTCTATACATGTCTAACAACCTGATCAAGGAGTGGGTGGAATTTAATAGATTGCAGGTTTGTAATGTTTCTACACAATAATATAAGTACCTAAATATATAATGTGAATATAAATAAACGCTTAGCTTATGTAACAATTCCATCTTTTGAACGAAAACGTGTCCTTGGAATTTTAGTAAGTCCCTAAACATTGAGTGTTTACTGTTTAGGCGGCAAACGAGTAGACGCATTACCTGATGGTAAGCCATCGGCACCGCTCATGAAGTCCCAAAAAACCATAGTAGTAACGTGTGCGTTGCCGGCCTTTTCGGGATGAGAATTTTGAGGACTTATTAAATGGGGAAGGATCTGGCATGGGAAGGCTTGGGTCTCCAGTAACTTAAAAATTTACTGGGCGAAACACAACGCTGTGAAGCTGTAATATGTCTGTAGGAAGAAGCGACCCATTCGTGCCCACCTCTCCTCTTCCGCACTTAAATTCTCATTTTTTCGATTTTCTTACCTATTTCAACTGCCTAACAGGAATGCGGTGCCCTGAGGGATTTGGTCTTCATTGGGAACCCAATAGTTGACAGTCAACCAGATGTTGACACCTGGCGCAACCAAGCTTCTACTCGACTGCAACAAATTATCAAGCTGGATGGTATACCAATCATAAGGGATTAGTCAATTATATGTAATATTTATTTACTTAGAATAAACTTATATTTAATTTTATCAACCAGAAGAATATTAAAGCAGCAAAAAATAAGTGACTAGAATAAACTCGGTCCTTTAACAGGGCTGACGATAGTCATCATTTTATACCATTACCTAACAGTATAAAGCGTATTATATCAATTACAAAACTATTTCGGTCTTCAATTTCCGGCATTGACGGTCCCTCTAAATTTAACTCTCTGAATAAGAATTTTGATTGCGTGACACTTTCCGTAACAATGGGTGATAGAGGGCCACTTGTTTAGCCTAAGAATTGAAATGACGATAATATTCGAAATAATAGCCACGTCGCATCGCCTCGCTTGCTTGACATTTATGACAGATTATGACTCTGGCAACACTAATAACAGCTCCACACGCCATCTATCTATTAGTTGACGCAACTTTAACATGACAGCGTTAAGATTGAATTCCATTAATCGAATAATGATTGCGATGGACAGATTGAAGATTACAGACTAATTCAACTAACACCGTGAAGCGATCAATTGACTCATACGGTTAATAAACCCATGTTGATAAAATCTTATCACCATCATATTTTAGGTAAGCATTCTCATAAACACCCCATTCTATATTAATTACAATTATTTATTGAAAAAAAAACAAGGAAAAGTAAAAGTAAAATATACTTTTATGGACCAATTGGCTATTAACATTTCCCCCGGAAATCGATTGCTATAGACAAAATTGCAAAATAACGCAAACGACTTCCCCTTGCTACTAAAAAGTTGCTTATTTTATTGCAAATCGACGAAATCTTCATGTGAATGCGTCGCCTTTGTCCGAACGACTCTATGATTCGTCATACGTCTCAAAGCTGACTTAATA